TACATACACAATATTCCAGCGGGCTGGCTGCTGCTTCTACTGAACCGAATTCCACGTTGGCATTAAAAATATGAAAAGTTTTCGAGATTCACGTAAGAAAGCAGTAGAACAGAAAGTTTCCGAAACGCAGTTGAACACGGGGAAAAAATGCATTATTTAGTGCTTAACATACATAAAACCTAATGACCACTGGGTTTTCGATTAAATTTTTATCTTATGTAGTGATAGGTACTTCATGCTTTTTTATTTGTATAGTAAATATATTGTCTACCTACATATCTTAAAATGAGCTCGATAACTCAAGATATTACTAACATTAAACAATTTTTTGTTGACGGTAAAAATGGGTAAATAGTTTCTTGATGCAAACCCAGTTTAGTATAGATACTGCAAATGTATATTTGCATAGATGAAGATAAGTCTATTCCCCTTGAACCCCATGTGACGCACATCAAACTTATCAGCTGTTTAAGTGGATGCATAAAAATTTTAATGCAAACATAATTAACTTAATGAAAATTAGACATTGATAAAAGATAAACAATACCTGTAGTATCATGGCACTGTTATCTCTGATAGTCAATGGATGAATGACGATCAAAACAAGTTAAATGCTCAAATTGAAGTTCTAGAATTTCCATTGTTCAACTGCAGGGCAGAGATGGGGAAAAACATCAGCAGCCGGAGGTCCTCAGTCAGCAACTCCCCTTTACGATGACCTACATTTCAATACTATTAAAACCAGCAAAGAACCTACCATTTAAAGAACTCTTGTAATCAAGTGTATCCCAACGAATTCAATTACGCCGAAACTCCTTAATCTGAAGGTGGGTTATTAAAGAGAAGGCGATTACAATCAGGATTTCCAGATGCTCCAAGCTTATTCATTAGTCCTTAGGATTAAACAATAAAATCTCATTTAAAAAATATGGGGTCGTATTTAAAAAAAATTACCCAACCCTGAATCTCTCACCGTTTCCGAGATCTCAATGATGTGGCTCGAATTTGAAACACCCTGTACATTTACAACTTGGACATGATATTGATGGAGTTTAAGGGATGCATTCTATTTCATCATCAATAATGCGTGATAGATTTAAAATTTGAAGAACTAGATACCAAATAAAAGGTTAGGTTAGTTTAAGTTTTAAAGGGTTTGCCCTAGAACTGTAAAGCTTGCACTCATAGGCCTGTTGGCCCATTGTGTTCCCTTCTTCAGGGTGGTTCCCTCTCAAATCCTAAACCTGTTCCTCCTTTCTTCGTTTTATGCCAGTGCATGGTTTAAACGAAGTTCAATAGTTCCATTGTCCTTATCTTTCCTGCGTCTTTCAGGTCCTCCAGGAAACTTTGCCCTATGTGATGTGGGCATTCCTCCTGTAGGGCTCGGCAATGACTTATTAGGTGCTCTATTGTTTCATCCTCCTCAAAGCATTCTTGACATAGTTCATCGGTCCTGAGGCCCTACTTATGGAGCATTGTTCCGACTTCACAGTGTCGTATGTGATTGCCCCTACTAAGGTGCCTATCCAGTTTTATCAATTTCCTGTTTTTCATATCCACATACGGCCACCGAGCTCGTGATGTTACGCAGTCATTGAGATTGCTCCATCTTCTGCTGTGCAGCTGCGTCATGGTTTTGTCTACTACTACTAAAATCATCGATAATTGAATCGTTAGTTACTGAATGTGATTCTAGAAGTCTCAGCGCTGCTTTGCTGTTCACATATATGGTGATATTGCCCATTGCATAGTCCTCCCTTAGCAATAGCCTTGCTGCTTTTTCAATAGCAATTTTGGCATATAGGATGCTGCAAACATCATCCCTGAGTTTGTATGACTTTGAGTACGCTTCCGCTTCTGTGCTGGTTTTTGTTTTTGCAATCTATGAAGATTGCTATCTCATTCTCCCTATATGTATAGGGGTTTGATCCCATTGTTCTCTTGAAGGCATTGTGACCTTTATCATGTCCTCGAAAGAATATTTGGCCACTATGTAGTCCGTTGCTTTAGGAAATCATCATCATCATCATCATTCTCATGAGCAGCCCAGTCGCGTCCACTCCTGAATATAGGCCTCCCCTTCCAATTTCCATTTCTGACAGTCTTGTGCAATGTGTTGCCATCCTCTCCCTGCCCTCCGGTAAATGTCAACCACCCACCTCTTTTGGGGTCTCCCTTTTCCGCGTTGGTGTGTTCTTGTTCTCCACTACATGACTATTTTTGTCCATCTGTTGTTCGGTTACCTCGCCACGTGGCCTGCCCATCTTCACTTTGCTTCTGCTATGCACTGGATCACATCGTTCACACCCGTGCGTCGACGTATGTCGTAGTTGTTTATCTTGTCTCTCAGACTAATGCCTAGCATTGCGCGTTCTATGACCCTCTGAATGACTGTCTCAGTTTGTTTGCACTTTTTATGGTTAGTGTCATAGCTTCCAGGCCGTACGTCAGTACAGGCAGTATGCACATGTCATGCACTTTTCCTTTCATGTTCATAGGCATATCTGGATTTTTCAGGATAAAGCGCAACCTTCCTAATGCTGCCCAGCTGTGGGATCACGAAACTCGATATTCGTTTAAGGTTTGTCATCTTTGCTCGAAAATCGAAAGTAGTTGTTCACGACATTCGACTGATCGATTTATTTCGATCGAAATGCCTCGACAGGTTCGGAGGTCTCGAATTAGGTTAAATTTCATCGTTTTGTCATGGTTTTGTCAATATATGTATGTACAGGGTCTTAATAAATAGTGGGATCAAACTTCTAGGATAAATAGTACTCATCAAAATGAGAAAAAAGTTAATAAAAACATGGGTCCGCGAATGCTTAGTTTTCAAGATACAGGGTGTCAAAGTTTGAAATAAAAGCGGTTTTTTAGCTCAAAAAACCCTTTTTCAATTTTCTTCTTCAAATTTGGCAGGTTTGTTTGTGATAACAAAAGGTATCTTTTGGGTTTGGAATGTAATATGACAATCTGCGAAAATATGAAAGTTATAAAAAATAGTGACATGCCATTTTTTTCTACTTTTACCAATGTAGTTGTGCTCTGGGGCGCCACTGGAATAATTATGGTGAATCTAATTGAATCCAGAGATACCTTTTGTTATTATTACAAACAAATCTGCCAAGTTTAAAGAAATTCGGGAAACGGATTTTAAAAAAACGATTTTTTCAAACTTTGACACCCTGTATCTCGAAAACTAAGCATTTGCGCACCTATGTTTCCATCAACTTTTTACTTATTTTAATGAGTACTATTTATCCTAGAAGTTTGATCCCACTATTTATTAACACCCTGTATAGTGAACAGATATAGTGAAATTGTCATAAAAATAAAAATGTTACCAATTGTCCACGATATTTTGCACAGGCAAAGAAATAGACGTCGCCAGAATCTTCAGCTTATTCGACGAAGACAAGTTTTGAGGTACAAGCAGGAACCCTTTTCTCTTCCAGAGGCAAGATTTGTTGAGTTATTCCGTCTTAATAAACGACTAACTAGAGAACTCATACAATTGATAAGACCACATGTACCAGAGAGAATACTTGCTCGGGCAGTCACTCTATATAGACAACATGGTGTTATGCACTTTGAGATTTTATGCCACAGGCTCGTATCAGGGATGTATTGGTGCAGAGTATAATTTTGGTATGCATAAATATGTGTATCTTGTGACAAATATAATTATAGAACATGTCGTTCACCACAATATCCAATTTGGTATCAGTGAGGAAGAACGAGATAATATCAAATTGGAATTTCTGCAAAAATGGGGATTTCCAGGGACTATAGGAGCTGTAGATGGCACTCATATTGCAATTTTAAAACCAAGACTTGAGGAATACAACTACATTAACAGAAAAGGCTACCACTCGATCAATTGTCAAATTATTTGTGATAGTCAGCTAAAAATAAGGAATATATTTGCAAATTATGGATGGTCAACACATGACAGTTTCATATGGAGGAACTCGTCCATTAATGATTATTTACAATCTCTTAATCCGAATGAAATGTGTTGGTTACTTGGAGATAGTGGGTTTCCTCTCTTACCATATCTTATTACACCAATTCGGAATCCAGTAAATGATGAAGAAGTTAGGTTCAATGAAGCACACGCACGGGCTCGGAATTGTGTAGAAAGATGCATAGGTTTACTAAAAACAAAATTCATATGTTTACTTAGAGAGCGGACAGCAAGATATGCACCTGTTTTTGTGTGTAAACTTATAAAAGTATGTGCTGCACTTCATAATATGTGCATTGAAGAAAATGTTGGAGTTCCAGATGTACCTCAACAAGAATTGGGCGATGTCGCTGAAGCAGGCAACGTGAATGGAAATCATGCGCATGAAGATGTGGGTGACGGCCAAGCTGTTAGAGAGTTTATTATAAATAATTATTTTAGATAATATTCCAATTTTTATCGAATTTATACTTAAATATAAAATAAAACAATACATTCACTACATTTTTGTCTGTTTTATTAACAGTAACATAAAATTAACTCTAATTTCTATCTAATTACTTAATCATGATAACCATTAAGTATGGTTATTTGATAAGGATGTCCCAAAAGTTTAAAGTATTCTAGTATTGGTAAAGGTGATAATTATTTCATTCATTATAATCATTTTCATTTCTCGTTTTTCGTACAGAAACAGCATTGGCAGTGTTTTTTAGATGCATTTTCTGCTATTTTTTTAACAGAATTTGAAATCTCACTCAAATTAGTCTCCAATGTGCCTTCAATTTTTTTAAAAATCTCAATTGTCTCTGAATAAGCATTTTCTTCAACTGAATCTCTACCTCTCCTTTTCTTGGCAGAACATGGGTAGTCGTTGGTTGCGTCCTTGCTTGTATCGTTTTTTAAACTCCCATTTTGTTCCTTGGTTGAGAAAACAGAAAGATCTGGAAGTATACCTCCGAGAGTCTGTTCCAAGTGAGGAACTAAAACCTCAGATAAAACTGTGTTAATGTTATTTGGATTCCTCTGTATATCATTTCCTAATAAATAGGATTCTGAACATCCACTGACAGAAAGATGACTCCAAAGCCTTTTTTAAGTGTTCACGTGTGATGTGGCAGATATTTTCATCAATTAATTTTGGAGTGAATGGTTCATTTCTGTTTTCATTAATTGGTGGAATTAAGAGAAATGTTGAATAAGATTTTGGCAACTGAAAATAAATTTCATTGAATACATATAATCAAAAAAATATATGTTATAATTACACCAACATCTGGCTCGTTTAGGCCAATAAAACTCGAACCGAGCAACTGCAATGCCCTCTCCTCAAACGGAGTCAATACTTTCGTAACTCCTAAACCACCTCCTGTTTTAGTTTGCTCCTTTTTAATTTCCGCCGCTTTTTTCTTTAAATTATATTTCATGTCAGTCCATGTCTGAAAATATAATAATACAGTTACACATAGATAAAGCCATTCGCGTATTCAAGTATTTATCTCTTTCCAATTCATTAGATATATTTCTCAATCAAGGGTTATGATTTGTAAAATATACTTACCTATTTTTTAAACTTTGGATTTTTTGTGTGAAGTAGCATCATTTCATACATGTTATTTTACCTTGAGATATTTATTACCTTCATCCATTTATCGGCAGTCTTTAACAGTTTAAACCCATATCCCAAACTATTAAGTTTATCAGTAAAAGTTTGCCACTTATCTTTGATGATTTTTTTTGCATTAGGTCCAGCAGCTCTTCCAGCAACAACATCTCGGTTATTTTCTAGGAAATCAATAATAATTTCCAACTGCTTTGGATACAGCATTTTTGAAGTTATTTGTGGAAATTTGAAACAATGTTAATTGACATTTGAATGACAAAACACAAATAAAACCTATTCACATACCCAAAAGAGCGAAATCGTTTTCAATTCAGTGCGTAACGTTAGCAGCAATCGAGTAAACTCGGTTTTCCACTCGATCGAGCTTCGTGAACAATCCACTCGAGTCGATCATCGTTTGGCCCGATATAATCGAATCGAACCTCGTGATCCCAATGCTGGTCATGCTCATTCTTCTGGTAATTTCATCCTTTTGGTTCTCTTTCCCACGCTTGATCTGGTGCTCCAGATAGACGTGTTCGTCCATTCTTTTCATTTCTTGGCCTTCTATGGTAAGTAGGTTTGCCCTTAAACTCATGAATTTGGTTTTTGCGGTGTTCATCTCTAGTCCCACCTCCTGCGGTGTTTGCTTCAGTTTCTGTATCATTTCTTTTAGTTCATTGAGTGTTTTGCCGATTAGGACGATGTCGTCGGCGAACCTTAGATGGTTTAGATATTTGCCATCCACATTCACGCCTTTATTTTCCCATAATAGAGTTTTAAATATATCTTTCATAACTAGGGTGGAAAGCTCGGGAGAAATGGTGTCGCCCTGTCTTACGCCTCTTATGCGTATTTTGTCCGTGATCATGTCGCTTTCTATCTCTATTTGGAATGTGGCGTTCTCATAGATGCGTTTCAACAGGTTTATGTATCTTGAGTCAATCCGTGCGTTTTCCATTGTTTTAAATATTGTGCTTCCATACATCTAGTATGGAATCTAAGGCCTTGCTGCAGTCTACAAAAGCCAATGTAGTGGGACGTTGTATTGCTATATCCATTCCGGAAACCTGCCTGTTTCTCTGGCTGATAGGAGTCAATTTAAGGCCTCAAGGGAGAAAATATCCTACCTGTATTCCCGAACGGATTCATCTGTCTGGTATACAGACGGATCGAAAAAAGAGCAAGAGAATGGAGCAGTGGTATACGGCCCACTTTGTCGACTATCAACAGCCCTAGGAGAAAGCCCAACCATATTTAAAGCGGAAATATTCTCAATAGAACTTTGCGCTAGAAAGTGTCTCGAAAGAGACCTGCAAAGAGCGAAGATCTATATCAATTTTGACAGTCAGGCAGCCCTAAGAGCTCTGAGTGGCTCTGTCACTAAATCCAGACTGGTATGGAACTGCCAACAACTCCTAAAGCAACTGGCGTCTCGCAATAGAGTCACTCTGTCATGGGTACCAGGGCACCAAGAAGTCAAAGGGAATGAAATAGCGAACCAACTTGCAAGACAAGCAGCTCCAACACCATTCCTTAGAACCAGAACCTTTCCTTGACACTACGAAAAGCCATATACCTAATAGGACAAGTCTAGAATTGGGTGAAGGTTCAACAAGCCTCCCGCTGGAACACGCTTCCAGGACTTGACAGGCGAAATAATTCATCTCGCCCCAGTTCCTTACGGGTCACTGGCCTATGCCGCTTCTGTGAAGAAGCCTCCGAGTCTGCGAAACAGGAACGCATACTTTGCAACTGTGCCGCAGAAGACTCATCCATCTGGAGCAGCCCTACTTAACCTGTGGATGTGAACCCACTAGATATAAGGAAAATCATAAAAAATCTAATTAGGTCGCAGTCCGGAGAGGTTCCCACCTAAACACCCCAACCAGGCAGTAATAAACTCAATTTGATCGGTGGAAAACACCGCTTTGTTAGGGAAAATAAAGGTGTGACCATTTCTCCATTTCAAATATCACATCATTGTTTGGTGTAAAAAGCTCTGTAGTAAGACGTTGCAACGTCGCCATATAGAGCTTTTGTAATGTAGCGTGGGTGATCTCTAGCGCGATAAGATGAGTCGTCATTGATTTTGTGACGTCAGAGGCGGTCGTAGGCGGCTTCTTACAGGGGCTTAGAGTCCCTGAGAGTTGATTATTGATCCAGGGAGGGTCGGTGTGTAATTTGTTGGATAGGGTTATTAGAATCATGAAAACTGATAAAATTACCATTGGTCTTAAAATACATTCTGAGGTGAACGATTTACATTTTACATTTCAAATTAACATCGAAAACCGAAAACTATTAGATATTTTTTTCTATTCAATAACACTAATTATTATCAAGTTGTCGAATATTCAAATGTCAATACTTGTTGTTTTTACAAATGACATTTACCTATAACATGTTGAGCTAACCGGTATCGTAATCGTTATTTAAATAATTACTTTTGCTAGTTGTACAGGTTGTTCATACATTGTTGTTAAACATTTTTGGTTTAATTATCGTATAGTAATTTGGTAATCGAGAACAATTTTCATGACAAAATTATAATGAATTTCTTCATTCACCATCAGAAATACATATTATATATTTTTGATGTTGATTACATAAATTAATTACATAGGTAAAACATTTAAATTATTGCTAATATTAAAAAAACTAATGATAGAAAACACTTAACAAATTCAAATCAAGTATCAAGCATTTTAGGTTAATAGATTTCAAAATCTGATCGAGAGTTAAACATGAAAATTGTGTTTATTCTAAGATAACGTTTGCATCTCTTATCTCCCGCTTAAACTAGGATTTTCCAAAGTACTTAATCGCTAATCTTTCGTCTTTTTTCTGTGAATTATTTATTTTTATCATCTGTTATTAAACCGTTAACATCCGTATCAGAGAGACTTTGAGCCCCCTATTTAGTTACTTTCCTTATTGTGACCTGTGGGTTATCATCAAATATGCCTAGCATGTAATGAAGAAAATTTTATATTTCAATTATTGATATGGGAATGTGTACGTTTTTAACGAATATGTTTTTTAAATTCTAAGATAAGGAATTCCATGGGATATAAATAAATATTTATAAATAATTTGGATGAGTTTCACTCTTATTGCGTTTTTTAAAAGATGTTAATTATTGTTTATCAACCTCCTTAGTCGAGAGAAACCAAAGGTTGTTGTCATGCCAGACGAACTAATAAAATATGTACAATAAAAGCGCGGTAAATAAGATGATAAAGCTGTTCTTATCAGTTATTTAAGCTTATAGTAAAAACAATGGATGATAACGTGGATATGGTATACGTTAACTGCGTTATATAAAAACGAACTGGAACAATAACATATGGCTTAATGATAAATCGTCGATGATTAAAATTAAATAATTATCACCAGACAGACGGGGCGTGCAGATTAACAAACGAAGAGACTCTTCTAATCGAACTGACTTTAAGTGCTTGATTAAATAAATTGCTCTGTTGCATTAATACTTCGTAATGTTGGTAATGGACATGGAATTTTCAACTAATTGGGAGCATCTACCTAATGTATAGGACTTAACTTTTCTATTTGACGTTTGATTCCTATATATGTTATGATATATATTGTAGCGATTAAATAAAACACAACGTATAATTGAGTTAAAGAAAAAATGATATATTCACTCAACAACAATAATTAGCAAAGATATATTTGAATATAAATTCGACCAAATGTCTAGAACGCTAACGCAAGACTGACGCCTCTGCTTACTCATAAGGAAAACCACTTCCTCTTTATATAAACATAAACAAGATCACCCCATCATAATTAGCATACTTAGTTTAGGCTAACAAAGAAAATATCCTTTATGAACACACTCTAAAAGAAACGTTCTTCTACAGTCGCCCATGCAACTTTATTGTCTCGGAAAAATCCTCTAGCTGCAGATCTCAAAAACACAAAAAAAAAAACAGTAATTTAGTGTCAAAATAAAATATATATATTGAAGATTGTCAAGCGATGCGAAGATTGGCCAAGAATCCACAAAACTCCATCACTCAATCATCATAAAAAAAAAAAAAAAAATTCTTCAGTAACCAACAAATTAGTTACATCTACTCTAAAAACTTCCTCAATTAGTCAAATAATCTTTCTCTGAGACATTCTCCTCTAAGAATTTCTCCTCTAGCAGTTTCTCCTCTGAGATTTCATAGTCTTGAATCCGTCTCGCTACTGCTCTGAAATGCGGCATTAAACGGCTTCATACGGTCAGTTGAACTGACACCTTCATATCTCTTACGTGCACGATTTGACCTTGGCAGGTCCTCTACTATATAACGATCATGATCTAGAACCTCTTTAATTTGGTAAGGACCACTGAACTTAGGCAGCAACTTTTTGCTTTTATCCTCATTAGCAGAGCTTGTCCTCTGCAGAACAATTTGGTCCCCTACCACATACTTATGACATTTCTTCCTTTTAGCATCAAAGTATTCTTTTTGCTTGTCTTGAGCATTTTGAATTTTTGAAGCAGCTTCCTGCCTAGATTGTGTGATCTCATTTTCAACAGCGTCCTCTGTGACAGCTCTATACTCAGAAATGAATCACCCAATGCTCTTGGTCTGTATCCAAAAAGCAGTTCACAGGGACTTTTCCCAGTGGAACTATTTACTGCAGAATTAATTCCAAAAACAAAAGACCTAATTGACTAATCCCACTTTCTTCCATCTTCGTAAGATATTGAAATGGCCTTCGAGAGTCAGAAAAATTGTCTCTAAAAAGTTTATTGCTATATAGTTTCGTTTTGGTACTTGGAAATGGATTGGCATGAAGAAACTTCGTGAAAGCATCTACTGCTACTATCAATGCATTTTTCCTCGTGCTCTTCACAAACGGTCCAACATGATCAATGTGAAGAGTATGCATTGGGATTGGTACCTTTTCTATTTTATGAAAAAATCCCTCTTGTTCACCTGTATAGGTGCTTTGTTGTATGCACATTGCAGACAAGCAGAAATATACCGTCCACATAGTTTCACAATTCGTGGAAACCAATACTTA